GTTAAAATCAAATTAGTTAACAATTTCAGAGGAAGCAAGAAGTTAGCTAATGTCTGGTTCCCTAAGTGCAGTTTGAGAACTGTTGTTGTTAGATTAAGGGAGGTAGTTGGAGGGAAACCTTGAACCTAGGTTTTGGGATTGTTGGTGTATCTGCAATCTTGAAGGAACTCATATCACCTCTGAGGTTTCAACCCATGTCACCCAGTGCTGCAGCCAGGGGTGTTACCACTGAGCTATTCGGGCCTGCGATTGACCTCCGGTACAACTGTATCAGAGTTCATCATGATGGTGAGCCACTCACTATGGTGGTCACATTTCAAACTCCACTGACAGAATTCAGTCTGCACCAAACAAAGATTTTGACGCAAGACATTATCTTTGAATACTAACTAGTGTTCGGTCAAAGTTTTAGAACTAGATGTGAACTGTTTCGCCTAATTATCACTGCAAATGACTCCATTATGCCAATGTGGCTTTTTGTGTCAACTACATGTTGATAACGGTGATTATGATAACAACGAAATCGTTTTATCCACCAAGCGTCTTTTAGGCAAAACAGTTTTTCAATGTCAGTTTAGTTATCACGATATATGAATTTAGCCAATTGTAGTAAGATGGATGTCAATGATACACGGGCACGAATTGACACAAAACCACAAGGATAAATACACGATAAAACTTTATACTACTAATTGACTGAGATGAGTAGTTGGATTGCATCACTCATATCAACCAGTAGCGCTTGCTGGCCAGCCAGACTGAAGTTGTCTAAGCACTGGACAACCACTTCTCTCCATTACATGCAGGATAAACAGCGCTACGTGCCCGGTTTGACCCAGGTCAGATAGGCAAATCAGTTCAAGTCATCAGATCTCATATTGTATTCTGAATATTTTAGGTTTTTAAAGGAAACCGTGAAAATTTCAGATTATGAATTTGGTTTAAACTCTAGTTAATACCAGGATATCATGTTTTCTGTAATATTCGACCATTTGTTTATTGAAAAGCACAAACAACAAAAATTTGTTACATATATACATATACTACTTATTTCCCCTGTTTTCATCCATGTAATTTGTTTGGAACTAAATAATGTTACATATTAACAAGGGGATATTCTACTTCCATCTAAACAAAATAATAATATTGTAGTCCATTCATTATTCCTCTTTTTTGTTTTCCATTAAACTGATACTTTTATCGGCAGTGTTGTTGTCCTGAGCTGATCACATATACATCAGGTAAAGTTATGGTTGTTTTACACAACTCTGAAAGAGATGTTTACAATCCAACTGGTAGTAAACTTTCTATAACTGTTTTTGTCAGCTTTAAATACAGATACTCATCTATTCCGATTGATGAGGATTTTAACGGTAGGGTCGGGAAAGCAGCACAGAAATCAGCCAGTCAGTTCTCCTATATACTTCACAGATTTAGTGCGCATGTCAGCTAAGGAATTTCTTAAACCTTACTTAAATCTTCCCTCAGTACTGATGATCAGATGGCCAGCAGTCAGAACTTTCTGTAGGAAATTGAACAACTAGTTGATATTGCAACTAAATGATTAGATGGATGGAGATTAGTACTATAAAGGAGCTATAATTAGAATATCAAAAAAACTTAAGATGAATGTTCATCTAGATGGTGAGGCATGCCAGAGATGAAATGCATGTTTAAGTTTTCATTCTTTCAGTCATGTTTATTAATAGTTGTACTTGGCATGACAGAGAAAAAAGGCACTGTGCATTTTTAGTGTTTCAATAAGATGACTTACTTTCAAAGAGATTTATTAGAGTAGAAATAAATAACAAAAATTTCACCATCCCCTTAATTCACCCCTCTTTAGACTAATTAGTTGTGTTACAGTTAGCCTGTATTACTATTTTTTAATTTTAAATGTCTAGTGAATCTAAAATACATTCTTGGAATGCTTTGGGTGGCTAAAGTTAACTGTTAAGAGGCCATTGGCCCAGGTTTTGTACACCGCCAAAGGTCAGCTACCTAGTTTGATGGACACATTGCAAAGCTGACTGGTAGAACTCAGTCTGTACCAATACACCAAGGACTAGACGTGTGACATCAGTTACCACCAAGTGTTCAAAGAAGTATACAATCGTGGATAACAATTTTTTAAAAAGAAATGACTAATGGATAAAGGATTTTTTTCGAAAATTTCTCCATCAGATCCTACAGCTGTATATCCATAATAGTTAAATGAAGATTGTTATTGATAACATTAATGTTTCATAAAAAATTGAGGATCATTCTAACCTAGATGGCCAAGGTAAGGACTATATCTAAGCCAACCAACGTCTTCTTTTGAACACATAAATTAGGCTTCTTAATGTGGATCCCAACAACCTCAGCAATATTTAGAAGACGAACTCTTAAGGTGAAGTTAAGATTCGTTGGTATGCGGTAAATGACTTTGAAAACCTCGTTGACATCAATCTTGTGTTCTGTATCCACAAGGTGAAATAAAATAGCGCTACGAATAGATTTTGTTTGTCCTTTACTCAACCACGCAGGGTGCATTTCCCAATTCCGACGAGACACATGCCTAACCGTACGGCCTATGTAACTGACTCCACAGGAGCAGTCAAATTGATAGATACTCATAAAAGCGAAATTAGGTAGTTTGTCTTTTACTCCGCGAGGATAACATCAGAGAGATACTGACACAACGCCTTAGGAATGCAGCAAAATGAGCATTTATTGCTGCTGAATTAGGCAGAGTCTTCAAAACCACTCCTAATTTGCGTCGGGGAGTTAAAAATAAACTGTCTAATCTCGCCTCTTCTATGCGTATCTATCACTTTGACTGCTCCTGTGGAGCCAATTACATAGGCCGCACAATTAGACGTGTTTCTCGTTGGATTTCCCTCTTTGGATCAGGTAATCGAATACTGAATCGTCAGTGATGCTAAATTTACCCATTATTTATATTTAAAAATTATATTTGTAAAATCTCAACAAAATTGAAAGGAGTAATTCTAACGTTTCCTTCGACAAAATGGTCCGAACATCTTCAGGGAAATTAATCATCACTCATATGACTTGACAAAGTTTTAAGAACATGAGGTGTCTTTTTCACTTATAAACCTTTGTTATTTTCACTTCGATTAATTTCCTTGAAGAAGTTTTTTGGACCAGTTTGCCAAATGAAACATTGGAATTACTCGTTTCAGTTTCCCTGTAATTCTACGAATATAATTTTTATATATGTCTACTTCTCACTCAGCGCCCAGTTATTTTGGAAGTATTCGGCCAAATCTTGATCACAGTTCATATGTTTTATTTATATTATTGATGGCCTGCTTAAATTACTAGGCCACATACATTTTCTATCATGTTAACTCCATTTCGTAATGCTTCAATAGTGCAGTTGTGTCTAAGAATCGCAATCTCTACTCAAACCCATTTTTAAATAGCTTTCAACTTATTGCTACGAATTTTTTGACTGAAATGGAGGGGGAACATTGTGGATTGACAGAATATGCCCCGGATGAAATAATATCGCTTCTGTTGACATATTATCGTATATTATATCGCTTAAAATTCTGCACAAGAGATAAACAGCTTGTAATAAGAACCACATGCTGAAACTTCTTGATATAAGTACTGTAAGCAGTATAAACGCATTATTGTTGTTCTTATTAATTAACCGCACTGACAAGTGTTTCGGAGCATGAAAAATAAAGCTCCTAGAGCAACGGCCAATGTAACTAGCTCTACATGAGCTATTAAAATGACAGATTCGGTAGTCCATAGCTTACCTAAGTACTTCATCTTTCGGTTTCGGAGTCACATTTGGGAGGGGGAAACAAAAGCTATGAGCTGCAGCTTACCAGCTTTTAAATTTCTTTCAATTGAATTTCTTGACTTTGGTGGTTTGCTCTTAATCTCACTAAGATGAAGGCACTGAACGCGATAGTGATTCTGTGTATAACTGTCACTTATACTCATTCTAAAGAGATTTCTTTCAAAATTACCCAAAAATTTGGCTGTTAACAGCTGTCCATTGTAGAAATAGTAATTTTTGAGGTAACTTCTGACATCCTTAGGTATGCAACTGTTCATCACTTAGTGTTAACGGATGCAAAAACGGTATCTATTATTATTATTCCCTTGGGTACTGAGTAGAACATAGGGCTCCAACAACGCATTTCCACACCGTTCTGTTTTCTGCTATCCTCTTCAGCTGGGTCCACGATTCTTCATAATCTCTCATCTCCTCCCTCCTCCAACTCACACGATCTCCTCCGTGTCACCCTCGCACTGACGACGCACGCGTTGCTTCCCATTGGGATCCCACCAATTCATCTTCATTTTCTCCTACATATTTGCTTGTTGAGCGGTCGGCTTTTGGCTGGTTTGTTCACAGCCAAAGTTTCTTGTTGCTAAGTCTTTCTGGCAAGCTGTATGGCCGACCATTTCACCTTCAGTATGGAGCCAGCCAAGGAGAGAGCTGTTAATAAAAGTCTGCAATCTGTTGGAAATGCTTTTCGTGACTCACACGCAATAAAAGTTTCTGACCCACATAGAAGCAGTGACTGACTAACTGACTTCACATTTGTGTTGAACAGAATTCGAATATTGTTCTTTATGCTGGCTGACTGAGTGCAGAAGATTTCCTAAACTGATTTCAGGTTGATGAAGGCGTATCTTGCCCTTCTGATTGTGGATCACCTGACACATGGCATATACATTTGGTTGCTGAATGAGGTTGATAAAGACGTGGGCATTGCACGCCGTAGTGTTAAATCAGTTTCTAAATTACTTCTCAATCAATGCTATCGAAGGCCTTTCCGAATCTAATATACCCCTTGATAACAAGCAAAAGTCTCCAGAGTTTACACTTCTTAACAAATAGTCTCCCAATGTTTTGAAGCGTTTAAATTTATAATAATTCATACGTTTATTGAAAATAAATCATTAAATTTAATACATTTTACTAACAACACTAATGTTATACAGTAAATATTCACATAAGCACTTACTAATTTGTATATTGGTCGTAATTCAGAGAATTCCCATAGTATAAAGAGTAATTGACGGATAAGTTTGATAACAGTTTGTGTTGTCTTATCGTCTGTGACAACTTGATCAGTTTGACTAACTTCACTTAAATGACCATAAGTGATACAAAGATTTAATAATTCTTGACATTTTTCCACTCCACCCAAAGTAACAAAACGTCTGTGTGAAGTTAACGGGAACAAAGAAGAAGAATAAGAAGAAAATATACGCTGTGACTCTATATTTTTCTGATAAAACAGGCTGCGGGTAATTTAACTAACTTGGTCGCCTTTAGGGACACGAAATCATCAATGAAAATAACTTCTATTCAAAACAGAATGTAAATTGATAGGATTAGACATACAATGAACCGTCGAAACCGAAACCAGCTCCCCAGTAATCTGTCTGATTTGATTTCCGGCTATGTACTGATGAGAATTCTTAGGGTTGAGTGGATTAACTGTCCAGTGGTGCTTACTTTTCTGTAGTTCCCACACAGTATATAGGTTGCTGTCCAAGTTGAAGTGATTTAACCACAGGATAGGAGTTGCTCTTGTCTACCATAGAGCTGATCAGTGGTGTGCCCTGTATGACTTAGTTCAAAGAGTGACGTCAATTCAAAGCATTCGTATCCTGGCTAGCTACTTGAGCGAATTGTTAAAATACTTGATCAAATTTGGTAACAAGCACTACTGATTCATGTAAGTGGTAACCAACTACTCAAATCAGTCATCCAGTAGTATATAGTATCATCCATTTGCGATAGCTTTCCTGATTGCTGTTCATCATACAAAGCAGATCATGTACTGTGATCTAAATAATTTCATTTTCCAAATGAAGAAATGATGAAGTGTCACCTCAGACTGTGTTAATAGTAAGTCACAAACCAGAAGGTCCTTGGGTTCGAAACCTGGCGGTGGATGCCTACTGTGAAGAGTCCCAAACTAGGACGAAACAGCTATCAAGTACTTCCACGTTTTCTGATGCTTCTCTAATCAATGTCAGCTCATGATGAAATCTTTTAACTAAATTACAAATTACTTTGGAAATTATGGATCAGTCTTCATAAATAACTGCTTAATAAAGAACGTCTTTACTTGTAAATTTACTGCATGCACACTATAATATTGATGAAATCAATGATAGCAGTCAACTGCTTTCAACTGAGGAAGTATAAACTGTTATGGTTCAAATAGAGAATCTGAAGTTCTATGCCATAAACCAACAGACAGATCTCATAGTAAAAGCACTTTACTTAGGTTCTTCAATTCAAGGATACAATTAAAACAGAAAGTAGAGAACATCCCAGAACCTAAATATCATCACTATGAATTTTTAACTGACTTCTGGAAAACTGGACATCTCACAGGGCTAATTTAAACAGTCTGTATTACCCAACATGATCCAGACGAACAGAGACAAACTCAGTGATCCGCTTTTACTACTCAGATATACTTCTCTTATTAATATTCATTTCTTTCACTCCAAGTGGAACTTAGGACTTTGACGATAAGTATGGATATCACTCAATTATCTGCCCACAACCTTTCACTTTCTTATTCACATGATCCTTATATCATCTTCGAATAGCTCACCCAAGTGTTTGCTCCCCATTCGGATTCTACTCGAAACCCTGGTGTGTGTGTGATTCCACTTATCAGCCTCCGCCACTTTTGTTCAATCCATCTTTGTTTCCTTTTGCATATTTGTTGAGTAGTTGTTTGTTACCGTAGTTCCTCCTTGCTTATCCTTCCTTGCCAGCAATCAGATCATAAATACTGAGGTGGCGAAGGTAGCTGGTGAAAGTCTTCAGATGGTTCGAAATTCTTTCACCGACAGATGCACCAAATCTCTGGAGCATAGAGAAGCAGTGACTTGAAAATAGTTTTTAACATTCAAGTCTTGTTCCTTATGCCGTTTCCTGTGGCGCTTCCGAGTAATTCAAGACAGACAGACACCAATCTGGCTTTGATGATTTTATCCAGATTAGTAAAAGAATCAACTACCACTAGACTCTTTTTTATCCTTTTTTATGTCCATCTGAACTGTTTTCTTCGCTGCCGCCTCTGCTTATGTATAAATTTGTGAGTTTGTACGACGTGAGATATAAATCATACGCGCAATTCAGGTCTTCCAGGGTCTTTTTATCGGTTCAATGTATGTGTGAAAGAAAAATACACATTTAACACCAATATGAAGTTGGTTCTTCCATATGGGTCAGAAACTTGCACTGAATGTCAGCCACGAAAAGGATTTCCAACAGCTTGCAGACTCTCATCAACAGCTGGCTTCTCTGGCTCCATACTGAAGATCAAATAGCCAGAAAGAATAAACAACAAGAAACTATGGGAACAAACTAACCAAAAGCCGACCGCTCAACCAACAAATATATAGGAGAAAGTGTAGATGGATCGGACATACGTTGAGGAGGCTACCGAATGACATTGCTCGCCAGGCCCTCGAGTATAATCCTGATGGGAAGTGACGAGTGGGTTGTCCTAGAGTGACATGGAGGAGATCATGTGAGGAAGAGATAACAGAGTGTGGTCAATCCTGGAGCTAGTCAGCTGAAGAGGACGGCAGAAAACAGGAAAAAATGGAGATGTGTTGTTGAAGCCCTATGTTCCACTTGGAACGCGAGGGAATAATAATAATATAATAATACATTTAATACTAAAAACATTTATTGCGTCGACGACTGTACTCACCTTGCATGTTCTAATTTCTTGTGTATTAAAATACAACACAGAGTAAGTAAACTAACTGTACATAATTTTTTCATATTTGTCTTATCTTCTTCAATGTATTGATAGTGTTCTGAATTAGGTAAAGTTGCCAATTTGTTACTTAGATTCAACGATTTCGAATGAGGCAGTTGCCATTCAGAACTGCTGTTATTCATCGGGTTTAATTTATTTAAATGATTTGGAGTGTATTGATTGGACAATGTATTGACTCCAATTCCACAAGGATGTTGATCCAACGCCTGAATGATACGATTCAATGCATATTTACCAAGTAGGCTACAACTAATCAAATCCAATGCAGAATTACGCAGAGCATTGGCAGCTGTTGCTACAACACAGTGTATTGGATTGTTTAACAATTCAACAAGCAATGGAAGTCCATGGTTAACACGAATCTGTAGACAGAAGAACAAAGAAATTGACAGCGTAGTACAGTATTTAGGATGATTCTTTATAAGTGTTAAAAGTAACATCTACTTATATTGACAAATATCTGTAGTCTAAAATGAGGATAACAAAAGTATGTTGTGGTTTTCTTGGCTTTTATATTGTCCAGTAAAAATTCCACTCCTACAGGAGGTAAATCGCAATCCTGAATAGCCTATTGGTAATGTCTCTGACTGCAGCACTGGGTGACGCGGGATTCGAATCTCAGAAGGGACATGAGTTACTTCAAGGTTGCAGATACGCCTTAGTAATGAGTGCCAACTAGCATGAAACCTAGGTCCAAGGCTTCCTTTGGCCGATTGCCTCCAGCTATCTAATATCATCAAATCAATGCGCACCGTGATGCCGAGCTACCTAGAATCGTGGCCACACCGCAGCAAAGAAAGGACTAGATACATCACACTAGTTACTGACTAGTGTTCAATCAAAAAGCTCCATCCATACTTACTTCACTAGACCTGTATAGTATTTGCTTTCTGGTTATGTGAATAGTTAAGCAGAATGTATACCTATTAATGGAATGTTAAAGCTTGAAAAATGCTAAACAATTTTAACACAGGGAATTATTTCTCATAATCGACCCTCGGTGAGTTGGGTATTGCCGATGACTGCCAAACAAGGATGAAACAAAGTTAACTGAAGCATGTAAATAAGTGTAAACATTATGATTAGATCACTCAGAAGAGACTTTTCAAATGACTATTCTGTTACATTGTCAAGTATTGGTTTTGTAGGGATTACTATTTCATTGGTTGGAAGATTTCATTATGAGCTGACATCAGTTAGAGAACCATTGGAAACCACCTGGGAGTACTGGATAGCTGTTTGATCCCTCTAGTTTGGGACTCTTAATCAGTACACACCCACTGGAGTTTCAACCCAGTTACAGTTACACATATTTTTTTATCTTATTATAACCTGCTACTAGTTGCATGAACTTGTAGCCTATAGTTGTCATTCTTTCTGCTGGACTGTCATGCTATCATGGATTCTTTATCCACTGATTTACTGACAAATTTCAGTATACTTACGTCTTTATAGAAGAATATGTTGGGCATACTTATTCACAGTTTAATATGAAGGAGACAAGTGGGGAATATTTCACACAGATCAGTAACTAAGCAAAGTGTCAACATGGAAAGAATTACACGTAAAGAGTCCATAATAAAAAGGTCCAAATATGACCTTTGTCTACAAATGTGACAAGATGAAATATATTCATCAATTCTCAGAAGACAGAGAATCCTTGAGGTCTCCCTATGGATCCTAAATAGAAATCCCCAACTGATATTAAAGTAATTACTTCGAATTTTCCGTTGGTTGATTTCACTGAACAGAAATTCCAGGTCACTAGTGATATAGCGGTGGCTCCAAGTATGAACACTTTCACCCAACATTTGGGCTGAATATAACTGATCAATGAGTAGACAAATTGTTCAGTGTTAAAAGACTAACCATTTACAGTGTAAACAGACAAGAGGGGGAGTGGAGTTCAGATTTCCTTTGGAAACAGGGACGCACTAGAGAAAAATTACATGACCGAACAACAGAGTGAATGTCTACAAATTATGATGAAGAATTCAAGAGAATAGAAGTGAAGTAAAATTCTGACACAGAAAAATAATTACTTCAGTTTGGAAGCTTAGAAGTTCATTCAGTAAAATAATAATTAAATGGATCAAAGTACAAAAGCACACGAACAAAACAATTAAAGTTACCATGGTAGTGAAGGGTCACTCATACTGTGGTGGTGTGATACAGACAATGTGTTCCAAAAAAATATTATTTCACATATTTCCACAGTTCAATACGACACTAGCAACAGAATACGATATATCTATTTGAACATTCTCTTTGTTGCTAGAGTCAGGATCCTTTCTCATGGTTCGGTACTGTGTCAGCAACAACATCACACGCTCAGTGATTTTTTAAAGCATATAAACTGTATAGATATAACAGCTGTTTGATTAATTGAAAATATAGTTTGGCTTCTGTGTCTTGCCTTCTGCAGTTACAATGCTATCTTTCTGTATACAGAGGCTGCGAACTGAAGTAACCATGGTTTTCTTTGAATATTTTGAAGGCCTAACGAATTCGTCTATTTGCGTCATATTTGTAATTATGTTGCTTATACTTTCTCTCTATGCCTCTAAGCCACCGTGACAAACAGCATGTTCAAAAAGTTTGTAACTAATATTTTGAAATTTTTTAGGAGTTACGCTACTAAAGATATTCGATGAAATGAAACCAGCGCCTATTATCTTGCTTTCTTTGTAAAATATAGCTTTATGTTAACTATCAGATATCATCAAGGTGTTCTTATTAACGACCGGCATACCACCATAAACGGAAACGCTACGCTTAGTATAATCGATTAACAGGGGATAAGAAATAAAAACTTAAACAATTAATAACTGATGCCCGTTGAATAAGGCGTGAGTCTGGTGGCCCACTAGCCTAGTGGATAAGGCTATAGAGTTGGAAATCATGAGTGCCAGATTTGAGTCCCGCTAGAAACACCGTCACTCACTGAGGATGCAGGTACACCCAGCTGATGAGTCCCAGATAGAATGAACGGTGTATTTCACCGCTAACCGCTAGCATTCAAATAAAAGACTTGATTCACTGTATTCATTTTTCGCCACACCTCAGTTTTCCTCTTCTAGCCTAGTTACGTAACAGGATAAGACGCTTGGTAATGGACATTCATTATATTTATACGTTCATAGCCACATTAAATTTTGGCTAGGTTAGAGGCGAGTAAATTGTTCTTATTGGTTGGCGAGTAGCCCAAGGTTGAATAAGTTATCCAACCAGGTTATTTCATGTCCACAAAGTAAATTAAGTTCACATTTGAGGAATAAACACTTCCACCTCTGCTGCAGCCACTGACTTAAAGTGTTGATTTCAGTCTTTGACCGTTTCGCATCAATCTGCATCAGTGCTACAGTTTTACTCCATCTAATACACCGTATCAATGATCATAGTAGTACCGAAGTTTTTTATAAAAATCACTTTGAATTCTGGTTAATTTATGTCATGAATTGATATCTGCTAAAAAGTTATTGGAGAGTCCTAAAGGTCCTCCAACTCATATTGGTTTGTGCTGAGATCCACTGTGAAATACATCAAATTCCATAAACAATACATTTAAGAAAACTGTCCACCTTCAGTAAAGCCTAACTAGATAATTCAAATGAAATTAGCCTCTATTGCAAAAGAAAGAAGGAAAGCCTAAAAATGATCACATAAGTTGTTGTAATCTTCATTTAAAACATTCTAAGTTCAATAAATTATTCTTTTGATAGTATATTTCTATGACCTGAAATCAAACCAACCAATCAGGACAAAAAAAACAATTCTGATTAATTATACCCAATTACATGGCCTCATTAATCATAGATCAACTAGAATCATAATCCTTTCAAATAAATAATCCTGTATAATTCAAATTAAACTAGAAAATTTATGAATTCCATTCTAACATTAAAGTGACAACTGAACATAGAGATAAAATAATTTATAGAATAGCAACATATTTAGATTAGAAATTTATCAAACTGTGATAAATTGGTTACATACATGCTAGAACTTCAATTAAACATTTTTAGGGGGATATACTGTGGTTAATGCGAATTCGTGGCAACTCTAGAGATTGATGATTAAAATTATGCGGAGAGAAGCTGTGACTATTCTTTTGAGTTCTGAGAGGAAATTAGGGCTTCATGATTGAGTTTTACAGTTTATGAGGTGGAACTGCTAGCCTCAGGCCTAACCTCCTATAGCTCAGGTGGATGATGTTGAATTCGTTGTGTTCCCTGAGTTGGTTGATTTAATTGTTAAGCTTTCGTCGTCCTTCTAGGCAACATCGCTTCAGCACAGGTTTTAGCATAAAATGGACTTATTTGAATTCGCCATGAATGATGTAATTTTATCTCCTGGCAACCCTTGTCGTGACTGGTTGTTAATGTACGTCTCTACTGATCATTTTTATTGACTTGGAATTTGAACTTTCTTGTCATGTGATTTACTTTTTATTATTATATTATTATTGTTTCCTTTAGTTCTTAGAGAAACATAGGGCTTCAACCGCACGTCTCCACTGAGCTCAGTTCTCCGACAACATTTTCACCTGGCTCCACGTCTGCTCATATGTCTTTATCTCCTCTTTCCATGACCTCCTCCATTTCACCCTCACACTGACGACCAACTTGCCGCCTACCATTCAGGATCCACTCGAGCGATGGCCTAGCCTGTGATGTCACTTGATGGTTTGTTTTCTCAGAGTATGGTCAGTCCACCTCCATTTCTTCCTGCATATTTGTTGCACAATTGGTCCCTCCTGGATTTGCTCGTTATCAGATATCCCTGTTGCTGATCTTTTCTGGCCGGCCATATGATCTTGGGTATTGAGCGAAGATAGATGTTGACGAAGGTCTGTAGTTTGCGGGAAGTGCCCTTCGTGATGTGCCAAGCCTCTGGTCCGTATAGTGAGTAGCACTGACTTCACATTGGAGTTGAAAATCCGGATCTTATTTCTCATTCTGAGTGCTGTCGATCTCTACACAGACTTGAGAGTAATGAAACCTTGCCTTGTTTTCCCGGATTTACCTTTTATTAGCTCGTCAATTTGGTCTGCAATAATGTGTTTGATAACTGCTAATTCACTTGAGAAATCCCTTGGCCGTGTTTTGGTGTTTCCTCCATTTAAAATTTCTACATTATCCCAACCAAATTGGTTTCCATAATTATCCACACCCATTGATACGAAACATTATATATCATGTCCTTTTACAGCCAAGTTAATAGACAATATATTTGAAGATATTAAATTGACAAGAGAAGAAGAACTAGATAACAAAATTCTATTCTTAGACGTCTTAATGGAGAGAAGTAACACAGAAAATTTTGAAACAAAAATCTGCATAATATGAAAGCACACAGATGA